GCCACACCGCTGTGGGGGCGTGTCAGGGGGCGGGACTTAGAGCGGAGGGCGGGGCCAAGGAGCCGTGGGGGCGTGGGGCGGGCCCGGCCGCCATTTCCCGCCTCGGGCTGCGCGGGAAAAAATAAATCACGGAGTCGGAGTTGTTTGGGTGGGAAAAGAGCTGTGGGATCAGCGAGTTCCACCCGTGGGCCGGCGCCACTGTGTCAGCCACTGGGTGCCACGTGCGGGATTTCCTTAAACACACTCAGGGATGGTGATTCCATCACCTTACTGAGGCGTGTTATTTCTGATCTCTAATGTCTAATCAACTTTTCTCTGAAGGAATTCTTCCTGATGTCCAACCTAAACCTGCCCTGGCCCGGCCTGAGGCCGTTCCCTCTCCTCCTGTCCCTGTTCCCTGGGAGCAGAGCCCGATTCCCCCCCCCGGCTGTCCCCTCCTGTCAGGGAGTTGTGCAGAGCCAGAAATTCCCCTTGAACCCTAACCTTTTCCAGCTCCCTCAGCTGCTCCTGGGGCTCCAGAGCCACCTTCTCTGGACCTGGATATTAATGGTTTCATGAACAGGTATAAACCATCTGAAGGAAGACGTGTGAAGTATTTTTACAGGTGACTGTAAGGTGTTTTTGTCAGAGGCAAGTGCATAGCTCAGATCTCAGACTCACTCCATTTGGATGTGACCACATTGGGTCATTGGTCCCACGTCCCTGCTCCGGCAGGGCCATCCCGAGCACACGGCACAGGATTGTGTCCAGGTGGCTGTGGAATATCCCCAGGGAGGGGGACTCCACACCCTCTCTGGGCAACCTCTTCAGGGCTCACTCACTGCACAGGTTCTTCCTCCAGAGAAGGAGGAATTTCCTGGGATCCAGGGGGAATTTCCTGGGATCAGTTCCTGCCCATTCCTCTGGTGGCACTGCTGGATCCCACAGAGCAGGGTCTGTGCTCTCAGCCCATCCTCAGCAGGTGCTGACGGACAATGATGAGGTCCCCTCTCAGTGTATCCTCTCAAGGCTGAACAGCCCCAGCTCTTTCAGCTTCTCCCCATAAGAGAGATGCCCCAGTCCATTAATCTTCCTTGTAGCCTCTGCTGGACCCACCCCAGGAGCTCCATGTCCCTCTTGTACTGCAAAGGTACTGATGGCAGGCCTGGCTGCTTCTCTCAGAGCTAATACCCTCTGTCCTTTTCCTAAAAGGCATGTCTGGCTCTCCAGGAATTCCCAGTGCTGCTGTTTGCTGGTGCATGAGGATATAAACTGTGGTGTACCTGTCCTGCTCCCACCCTCCTTGGTACCTGCCAAAGGCCTTGGGCTGGATGGTGGGGAAAGTACATGGGGAAACCCACCCCAAATAATGGCTCTTGTGGGACTGCCAGAGTGTAAAACCAAGAGAAAACCTTTAAAAAAGCATGGTGCTGTATTTAACATAAATAAGGTATTGTAACCTCCTTTGCCTCCTAGAAAAAAAAAATAAAAAATCTAATGTATATTCAAGACTCTATTGTAACCTTGCTGCACTAAAGATAGGTATAATTTTAAAATTAATAAATAGGGAAAATCCTTCTGTAGCCAGCATAGACCCAGGCAACATGAATTTTAGTAATATTGGTTACAACTACCTTCTTTTTGCACTAAAAGAGGAAACCACTGACCATTTGCATTAACAAAATATTTATAAATTTATCTATGAACAGTTTTACCTAACAATAACAAAACCCTGCCATTGACTCTCCGTCCCTGGAAGTGTCCAAGGCCAGGCTGGATGGGGCTTGGAGTAACCTGGGATAGTGGAAGGTGTCCCTGCCCATGGCAGGGGGTTGGAACTGCATGATCTGTAAGGTGCCTTCCAACCCCAGCCACTCTGGGATTCTGCAATTCCTTTCCAGGCTGGTTTGTAGAAATGACCAATGTGTTTAATTCCAGCAATTCAAGCATCTCTTTTTGTCACAGCTCTTCCTCGCTCTGGAAGAAGGCTGTGGGCCCAGCCTCGAGGAATTTCTGTTCTGCAGCAGTGCCACATCCAGTTTCTGGAGAAAATGACTTAAGAGATCACGGGCCTTGTTTCATTCCTGCAGTCAACAGATTTAAACATTTTGCTGTGAGCCTTCAAATCACTGCGTTTTTTCCAGCGTAGAAAAAGTAATTCCAAATCTACCTGTGCTTTCTGCCTCCAAAACTAACACTCCCTACAGAGCAGCACAGGCAGAGATACCTGTATTGCAGGTTTCTGGGACTCGTATTTTAGGTTTTCCTGTCCTACTCTTATGACAAACACTTGCACGGGGAGTGAGCGCGATGCCACTGCTTGCATTGTATCCAACCGTGCAAGTTCCAACCTGCTCCTTGGCTTTGGCTTCTCCAGACAAGTCCTGCAGTTACAAACAATCCCTCACAGGCTGGATCGGGCACAGAGGAGCAGGAGTTGGTACATGTTGGCTGCTGGAATTAGCCCTGCTGCCTGTGAAGGCTGGGAGCTGCTGCTCCTGAGCTATTATGCGGCTTTATCGCAGCGCTGGTTATGTTGTAACCCTGCAAGTGCTTGATCTTTTACCCGCCCAGGCACTGCAGGCATTTTTAATTATCTGAGGGTTAATTTGCACAGGAGCTTTTGCTGAAACAATAAATTCATACCTCTGTTATTATCTGGTATGAGTTTCTGTATCAATATTTATATTTGGGTAAAACCAAAGAAGCTTCCTGCTAACATTAAGACAAAAGAATTGCTTCAGAGCAGGTTCAGGAGTCAGCCAGCACTAAGAACACCTTCCACTTCTTTGCAGGGAAAGGGAAATTGTGATGTGTGGTTGGAGAACACGCATTCCAATGCCTCTTTTCTACGCAGGGATGAGGAGACAGAAACAACTTGTCAGATGAAAAGCACGTTTTGCAAGGCTTGACAAATACAGTGTTCACCTGGAGCCAATGTGGTCTGTGTGATTTCGATGCTGGTAGGATTGTTTCTGTAACTCATGTTGTAAAACTCTGGTCCAACAGCTCACTCACTCACTGTGTGTTCATCTTCATCAGGAATTTGGTAATTGCTTCAGTTTAGAGGGGGAACTGCTGTGGTGATACATAAGAGGGAAGTAGGGTGAGAGGATGTGCCAGGAGGGGCTGTCTCTCCCCATGCTTGTCCCTTCGCTGCTTCCTACCCCCCCAGCCTAAGGTGGAGAGCAAAAAAGCAGGATACTGGCAGCACTTGAAGATCTGTAGAAAGTCCATATTCTTGCAGGGCAGTGGGAAGCAGAAGGAAGCTGAGGAAGCACAGCTGTTCTTGTCTTGGCAGCACTGCTGTAACCTCAGAAAGGGGTCCCTTCCCCTGGGCATGGGATCAGCCTCTCCCACCCCACCACTCCCATTTCTGTGCCTGTTATGAGATGGATGTTACAGAATCAAGAGCAGTCCATGTTGTATCCTTTCTGTTTTTACTTTAGGAGCACTCTGAAGTGTGTACAGTATCTTCTATCTATGTTTCTTTGTGTGCTACATGAGCTAAATCCTAAATAATCCCATGGAACGAGGGAATGGTTTCATCTCCCTGCCACAGTTCAGAGGTGGAGGTACAGACAAAACAATACTTAGCAGGGAATTGCAGCACCAGCTAATAGGAGATCCAGGTTTTCATCATGACTTCTGACATTTGTCCTTGCTACTAAAATGTGCCCCTTTCTCAATGCCACAGGATGTTTTATAATGGGGGGGGTGGGGAGGAGAGGGATGTTTTTAGCAGAACTGTTCTACATTAAAAGGAAGCATTTATTTTCATTGGTATCAGCTCTGTGAAGTCTTGACCCTGGGCCCACAATGGGAGTTTTATCCTTGACTTTAATGGGAGAACAATCAAGGTCTCATGATATTACATCCTAAAGAAAGGAAAATACTGCAGTTTGTATCAATAAGATAAATGTCTCATACTTAGTGTAAGCGGCTATATTCTTGCAATAAATGGTTTATTAGATTGATTAAATGTCTTAACTTCACCTCGACTATTAATCACTTTTGGCAGCTGTTTACTGCTTTGTATACTTTGAAGTAATGGACATTATTCCTTAATTATCTCATTGCAGCTCAGTCATTGTTTCCTAAATAGTGCCATTAGAATGGTAAATTGCAACAGTAAAACAATGTCAATAGGAAGTTATGAAGTTCCCATTTTATGATGCATTCATAAAGTTAACTCAATCTACTAAAATGTGGCTATGATTTCCACACAGTGACCTATTTGCTATGGCAGAAGAGATTCTGATGAGAAAACAGTTGAGCTTTAAGTGTGCTGGGACTCTGCTTTTACCCGAGTAAAACTCAGCATATCCCCTGTTGCAATATGTGTTGGAATATGCATATCAGAATTTATTAAACCAGTGCTTGTTTGATCACTTTTGGTTTCACTGAGTGCTGTGAATCCCAAGGATTTCATGCCTTTGAATACAATGCGTTTATTCCCATGGAAAAAAATGAGAAAACTCCAAGCAGTGCTATGATTTAGATGTTACTATTGTCATTTCACAGAAGGATAAGAGAGAACCAAATCAATCAGAAGAAATGGCTGCTTTTAGTTTTATCTCCAGATCTGGCAGCAAGTCATAACTTAGAAGTTGTACAACAATTTCCATGCTGAGTCCCTTTTTCAGTCAACTGTAACTGTCCTGAACTTTAACATTATGAGTTGTCTGTTTCAGGCTGAGTTGTTTGGGTGGAATCAGTATTACTGTCAATCTGAGAAAGAGTCATGAAACTGGCTTTCAACTACTGTAACAGAAATTGTCTCTCTTCTTTCTCCCTAATAAAGGTTTTTAGGGAAAAAGTAATGTTGGAAATTATGAGTTCTCATGAGTTTTTTATTCTCCTGGGATTTTTACTGTGCACATGATAGAAAATGTAGTTCCTTACCTTGGGCTAAATTAGTGCTGAAGGCAAGGTGAATGAGTCTTTTACTAACATTAACAATTTATGTTTAATCCCAAATTTCTGCAGACTCCTAATCCAGAAACTTTGATTAAGGAACTCAGCCAAGATGAAGCCTGACTGTGCCAGATGTCAGACACCCCCAGGAGAAGCAATGCCTGGAAATTGTTCTACCCAGAGGGAAGCAAACGTATAATTAAAATGCCTGGCTGTAATTTCGGTTCTGGGTTGAATTCAGCTGGTGACCCACAGCTGGAAGGCTCTGAGGGCTCATCACCAGGTGACCTGCAAGTGACACATCCAGTTCTACCTAACTGCAAATGCTACACCTCTGCAAGTCAGCCTGCTCTTTTTTATTTATTTATTTATATTTTTTTTTTTGGCAAGTAAACCAAATAATGTTCCTGCCTTGTCAAAAGTCTGGTGAAGTGTCCTATTCCTGTTCTCACTGCATCTTGTACTTCATCTGGTCAAGCTTAAACAGTCTCCTGCTGCCCTAAGGTGCTCTCCTCAACCTCTTAGAGCTGGAGGGGAGTTGCTGCTGGGAATCAGCTGGCAGAAACATTTGTAACAAAGCTCTCTCTCAGTCAAACCCAGGTGACTGAAGGAAACAGGTTGAGTTCTTTAGCCCAAAGAATTCATCCTAGATGAGATCAGGGTTTACTCTGAATCTTTCAAACTCCAGAAACAATAGCACAGGGCCAAAACACAACCATTTGGGAGGCATAAACAATTTCAAGTAGTGCAACTACCTGTTTGTCTGCAGCCTTAGACCATATTCATGCTACACAGAGGTGGTGGATGCCCCATCCCTGGAAATATTTAAGGTCAGGTTGGATGGGGCTCTGAGAAACCTGATCTGGTTGAAGATACTCCTGTGCATGGCAGGGGGGCTGGACTAGGTGACTTTTAAAGATCCCTTCCAGCCTGAACCATTCCATGATTCTGCAACCTTTTGATGTTGGTGAGTGATGAGAGGTGGGACATGTCAACAGTAGCAGGGCTTCACTTCTGATTGTTCTGCTGTTTCACTTGAGCACAAGAGTGGAACAGGATAAAAGGTGGCTTTGCCCTTATCTGGTTACCCATTGTGAGCACTCTGTTCTCCAGTATCCTGCTGCAGCATTCCTGCCAATACTGTAGAGGCTTGGTTTCCATTTCAGTTTCACTGGTTGTCAGAGAGTTTATCTGTGAAACAGATATACCAACAGCTAATCTCGTGTTATGGTTCCGTGGCTGTTTATAACTCCTATTAATAGCAGCCATGGAAAGCCTGAGAGTAGATTTTATAGGGCACTGGGGTAACCAGTTACTGCACATTCCCCTGAGGCTACGTAGCATCAAGTGTAGCAGCTTGTCCTTTCCAGACTAGGTCATGATCATAGCTCTGGCATTCCCTATCTTTTGGGGATTTCACTCTGTGCATGCTCTTGGTAATTCTTTCTGAGACATGATTCGGAAGCAATTGATTTTGCTCTATGATTTATGCTTACATAGTTGCCAGCTGATTTGCAAGAGGCTCCATAATTAAGCTCTACCCTGTGCACCATCTCCAGTGAGGATTTCACAGCACTTTAAAGGGATTGGCTGGACTTCCACTGGAGGGAAATAGGATGGGTCCATGATGCTTTGATAAATCTTAGAGGTTCATATTTTTAAATGCTTCCAAATGTTCAGCGTTCTCATTGCAACTCCTGGTACCCATTTTTAAAAGCTTGTGTTTTATCCCCCAAATGTGGGAAATGTTCATGTAATACCTGATTCAGTGAGGCATTTACCATTGTCACATATAAAACAGGACAAAAAATACCTTCTTAGTGATAGGTCCACGATGGGCTTGCTGAGTTAATAAGAGCAATGGTCCATACATGCCACGTTAGTGACACAGGTGTGGTTTCTCATGAGGCACAGCAAACTTGGGAAGGTATTTGCCAATTCTGAGGGAACCAGCTGATGAGCTGTGAGAAAGTCCTGGCTTTGTGGAGGATGAAACAGGATAAGAAAGTCCTGACGAAGGCCTGAAACAGCCCTCGGCAAGGTCTTCAGGTCATCTTGGCACACGGGAGCAGTAATTTATTCCAGGAGTCACTGCTGAAATCATTAGTGTGAGCTATGGAAAAAAGGCAATAGTATGAATAAAGGCAGTAGAATCTGGCCTAATTGAGAAACAGAAAAGAAGGAGTGAGGAACACGAAAGGTCTTGTAAGTGCAATGTACTGTCATCTGAGTCAACTGATAGTCATGGTAAGTAGCCATCTAATTTATTTTTTAAAGGACTCCTCACAGGAGAAACCTGCTGACTGTTGGGAAAATAAAGTCAAAACGATTAAGAATTGCAATGAGAAATTCTAGTCACTGCCTAATTCCGTGCCTTTCATTTCAAATTGCATAAATGGTAACTTGGCTTTTGGTCTCATGCCTAGAGAAGCACCTGAGAACACCTCATTGCATCATCATCGAGAGTCTACTGACCATTTTTAATTATGGGCTGGCTGTGGAAAGTGAAGTGGCTTGGTTGGTTAAGGCTGATACTAGACCCTACTAGCAGTGAGTGACTACCACAAAAAATGCTGGCATGGAAACCACAGGCACTCTTTGAAGCCTTTGGAGCTATGATGCTTCCACTCGCACCATTTGTCTAATTGAAATTTCATTCACGTGGCTGCTAGTGGAACCTGAGAGTGTCAGGAATGTGAAAGAGCATTTTTCATGATGTGGTGTGGTCTGTGTGGCTGGAAGTGGAGAAATCAGAGTCAAAGTGGGGAGGTTTGAGTGAAGGAAAGAGGACAGATTTATGAAAGGCATTTGTGAATTCTGTACACAAGCTATGAGGGAAAAGTGTAGATGGAGGAGATGGTAAGGCAGAGAAAAGGAAAATGGACTACAGAAAGAGGAGGAAATAGGAAATCCTTGAAAGAAAAGTATTCAAAGGATAACAACTCTTGACATTTCAATCCTAGTGTCTTTCCCCTTAGAATTTCAAGTGTAGGGTAGTCTTCAGCACCCAGTTGCTGGAGAGCTGCAAAGAAACCTGGTGACCATTGTTGGGAAAAGGTGCTTTAAATATTGGAAAAACAGAGATTATTTAAATTAGTTCTGTGGCTGTCCTTAGAAATAGTATTTTTGACTTCCACAATTGTTTCTTTTGCTGCCTGTGTAACAAAAAAGAATCCAGTTTTGAATGCACCAGGGGCTCCATATAACTTTGCTTTCCTGAATATATAAAGCAACACAGGTGCTGCTGCTTGTCTCATTTCTGGTGATTCCCAAAGCCAGAGGCACTGGCCATCCACCAATAGTTTGGAGCTATATCCTCCACTTTTCACTGTAGGATTTCTATTCCAGTAAAAAGGCCATGAAAAATGTTCCCTGATAAATATCTGCAAATAACAGAAGTGTCTAAGCATCAGAAAGAAGCACTGATGTGGGATGACCAGGATGAAATCGAGTTTAATAAAAATATTTTATTGTGAGATCAAGATAATTCAGTAATCCTGTCAAAACTAGCTTCATTGTGCTGAGTTCTGTACAAAAAGTAGTAGGAAGTGACCCACAGCATAAAAATCTACAGTTTTAAGTGTCAAAGGAAATATAATTTCCTGTGGAAAACTGAAGCATAGAAAGAGTAATTTGACTGCAATTACACAGGCAATTTCTGGCAGGGTTGGGACTACCCAGTCTGCTTCCCCTCCCGTCTGAGGCTAAAGCTACCCTTTAAGGGCTTGAAAATCAACTTGGTAAAGGCACAGGAAGGTCTGTGGTGTGACAGGTTGTGTACCCCTCCTGGCTGACAGGCAGTGTCCATAACTCCTGGTGCTATCCCCTAGGCAGGAGGAAGAGGAGCCCGGTGTGGATCAGAGGGATGCGGGAGCTCAGCGCTGTGAGCAGACACAAAGGGCTCACGGAGCGTGCACGATCGCCTCATGCAACCACACAGCAATCGTTTGTTAGAAAGGTGCCAAGTGTGAAAACATAACCAATGCTGGGTCAGTGGGTCAGTGGGAAGCCTCTGCTTGTTTATTTTTGGATTTGCCATCCCAGCAGGATCCCGCTGAACTGAGATTCTCGCAGAAGCCATTCCCAACCTAAAGCCTGTCCCAAGCCACCAACTTAATGAGTGCCAGGGCTGTCATGCACAGCAAAGACGTGGCTGGAGTGGAGGCAAAGAGGTGCAGCACTCTCAGATGAAGATGTGTGGGCAGCAGGCCTGTCACGGAAACAGTGCTGAGTGCTCCAGAGACTGATATGCCCTGTTAATTCAATTAATTGCTTCTTCAGCTTGGTTGAGAGATCAGCCTGTGAAGTACAAATATCTCAAGCCAAACAATTTTTTCCCTTGTCTGCTGTGGGTAAAGTGTTCCACACGTGGCTGTCTGTCAAGTGTTCAGCTGCAGCACCTGCATTTTGATGTTCCCAGGTGATTTTCTCCAGGCTTCACAGGACAGCCATCCTACATTTCACTTCCCCTTGGGTCAGTAAACAAAATATTTTCCTTGGATACTTGTGTTGTGTTCAGTTAGGGATATATTTTTGTCTGGGTACAAGTCAGACTGGTATTTGGAGGCTGTGATAAAGCTGGAAAACAGCATGGCAGTGTGTTGGTCCAAGCATCCCTTGCAATGTTTTGTCCCAGGCCAGTCATCCCTCAGCTCCATGAAGAAGGAACATTCTCCATCCCATTTACATGCAGGGGAGACTTTGAACAGAGTGAATCTTCCCCTTGGCTGAAGGCCCTGTGCAAGATCCACACACTGTTCAGGTTCTTTATGCATTAGCTTTTACCAGAATAGTTAAATAATTAAGACAGTCCGTTGGCCAATATGCTGATAAATGAATTACTTGGGCTTCCATTGGCTGCTATTTTTGTGACCATGTGGGCTGTTGTTTGCAAGTATTTAAACAGCTCCAGCTACAAGTGGGACTGGTAGAGTCATGGAGGGATGGTACTTCTTGGGAGAGTTGGGTTTTGACCTGGTGGGGAGCCCCGAGCTCTCACCCTGAGGAGGGATTTGTGGTTCAAGGGTTGGGTTGTATTTGCAAGGTTCCTGGGACTGAGACAAAACCAACAGGCAGCTCTTAGGACACCTGCTTGACCTATACTGCTTTGATTTAAGGAAATTAAACTCTACCCCATAGAGAAAGAGCTGAAATCCTGCTGCTTTTGGGAATGTTATTTCAATGTACTTGTTCAGTGAGTTGGCCTGGTAGTTTACAATTCAGAAACCCCGGAGCACTTGTGAATTGTGAGGGAAGTACACTATTCATTATCTGCTGTCAGGCATTCATCATGCCAGCGAAAGCTTCAATCCTCTCATCAGGATGCAGAACATTACTTATGACCAGTCACAGGCCATGAATAATGGCTTAACGAAATGAACAGTTCTCCAGCAATTCAGACCCAGGTTTGTTAATCAAAACTATTCAGAGCCAGATTCTGGCACCCCCTCAAACACTCTGAATAACACCTACCCCCAGTGCACCGTCTTTGGTTTTAATTGCATTTATAGTTTAGCAAACTTTTTTTTTTTTTTTTTTTTTAATCTGGCTGACCTCACCCAACAGGCTCACATAAAATGCTGAAGTTTGCCTGCACCAAAATAAGTAGTTCTTCTCTCATTTTGCATTAACACTTGCTGTAGAAAACCACTTTGGCAGTGATGACAAATCTACATGTCTTTTCCATGCTGGTCAACAGCTAAATGCTGCCTAAAGCTAAGCACTGATTTAAACTTATCTTTTTTTAATTTATGTGGGGAAAGTAAGTCAAGTGACATATTCTTTATAGGACCTCATGCACAACAGTAAATTGGCATGGCCATATTCATCCATGAGTAGGATTAGGCCCTGTTCTGGTTGGTGTTTCACACCAGCAGCAGTTCTCTCTTGTATATTGCTAAACACACTCCAGGCTGCTGGAAAGTGAATAGCAGTGTATTTGCAACCCAGTGCCCAAGTATTCCTCTACAAATGTTCAAGGCAGCTGGCAGCTCAAACTCTCTTCCCCACTTGTAGGAGGCGTCTTAATTTTTTTGGTGTTCTGAACTGTGCCAGAGAAGCTGGTACTTCATTTCCAGAACCAGGGATTGATTAAGTTGGAACATTTTTCACATGTGCAGATAGTGATGGGGCAAGGGGAAGTGGTTTTAAACTCAAAGAGAGCAGGTTTAGATTAAATATCAGGAAGAAATTCTCCCCTGTGAGGGTGGTGAGGCCCTGGCACAGGTTGCCCAGAGTTGTGGACTCCCCATCACTCCCCCATCAGTATTTGAGGCCAGGTTGGACTGGTCTCATTTAAGGTGTCCCTGCCTATGGCAGGGGGTTGGAATAAGATGGTCATTAAGATCCCTTCCCACCCAAACCACTCTATGATTCTATAACTCTATGATTTCATTAATGGAGAGCTTTCTGGGCAGTTGATGTAAGGTAAAGCCATGTGTCGTAGTGCAGTAAAAATCTTGGTATATCCCAAGGGTAAAACTCACCCTCAGTCTATGTAATGTTAGGCCCTACCTGAAAACCTTTTCCCTTTCCCCTGTCCCATTAGCTGTAACTTCCCTGTGTCCCCTGATCACCCCTGCCCCCTAGTATAAGAGATAAGACCCAGGATGATTCTATAACTCTATGATTTCATTAATGGAGAGTTTTCTGGGCAGTTGATGTAAGGTAAAGCCATGGAAATATTTAAGTGAGTCTTGTATCTCCACTAATCTCTTGGCATTGTGAATCACAGCCTTGGCTGTCACTGCCACTGTCAGGTTAAGACCCCCAGGAGTGGTTCCCCACTGCTGTTTTGGGGTATGGGATCCATCCAGCAGATGTGGAATGATATGTCCAGGATGCTCAATACACTCCTCTAATATCCTTGGGATGAAACTCCCCATGAGACTCTCAGGGATGTAGTTACCAACTTGCATTGTGGTCAGACTCCTCTATGTGTTTGAACAGAGCTCTTTATTTTATTTTACATATTCATTTTTTAAAATGGTTTTCAGGGCATAATCTTCCATAACCAGTTCTTCTTCCTTGGGATCATATTTTGGGAAACAGCCCCACTGGTTTCACCCATGGAATGTATTTCCCCATATGATTAAATGTTGGTCCCTTTGTGTGGGTGAATTAGGGTTCAAAATGAGGAAGAAAAAACCCTCCGGATCCATGTCAGAGGATCTCTCCATCAGCAACGTCTGCTGCAGGGGAGGCAGAGCTTGCTCTGGGTTTTTTTCCACCAGATTACATTTTGATGCACTAGCTGCAAGGAGTGGGAAGGGAAGAAGCAGGGAAAAGAGAGAGAAAAAAGAAAAGGCTCTCATCCAGAGAAAAACCAGGAGTGCTTATCTCTCTCTCCCTCCTCTGCCTTGCATTCACTGCGTCAGGTCTTCATCATCTCTTTCTGCCCTCAGGGGTATAAATGTAGGCATCTGTGGGGGAATAACCCAATACAGAGTTTCTCCTCCTCTTGGAAGTTTTTCAGCAAATTTTCATTTTGGCCATTTCTTTTCTTCAGGCATTGTATGTTCTTTATTTGAGAAAACAGAGGAAAAATGCAACCCAAACAACATTTCAGTTTCTCCAGAAAAAGTTTCTATTTTGATTTATTGAAAACTTGTCCAACCAGTTATTTATATTTTATCTGTGAAAGACTCAAAAAATTTCATCCGAAACAGATATTTCCATGGAAACGTCCATCTTTGATGAGATGTCATTCCTCAGATGTTTCAGCTGAAGAATTTTGTCAGTTCTGGCAGAAAAAAAAAAGGAGTGGGGGACAGAACAAAGACCAAGCTCCCAGGAAAACATGCAATGCTTCAAGTTAATGGGCTAAAATGTCAGCTGGTAAACTGCCATAAAGCCAGAGAAGTCAGCCGGTCGACCCGAGTCAATGGAGCTATGCTAATTTACACAGAGGATCTGGCCTTAGATTTTAATAGAACCAGCCTAGCAAGCTGTTTCTCTGCTTACCCATCCTCCTCCCTTTTTAATAAGCTCTCAGTCATACTTGGCCTATCCTTTAATAATTCACACTTCTCTCTTCACGATCCCTCTTTCCTCTCCGGAGATAATGGGATGGGATTTTCTGCTTGCAGCCCTCACAGAAATATCGTAGACAGGTTAAACTCAGCACAGCTGGCTACTGGCTTCTAACATATCCCTCGTGCCTCTTCCTGGACTCTGATAAACATCTTTTCTTTGGTCTTTGCTTAGCCAGTGCCAGCTGACTTCGGTGCAGTTTGCCGTACGTTGCGGCGCAGCGCGTTGTGCTGTAATCTATAGATCCCGGGATACTGAAGTATTAAGCTCACAGAGCAATCAATTACTTTAATGGGAGTTGTGTGCGTCTGGCCGCAATTCTGGAAAACAGATCTATGAGATAGCTCCAGGACACAGCCCAGCCTCTGGACCAAGAGGCTCCTCGACTGCAGAAGTTCTTCTAACTCGGGGCCAAACGCAATTGGCAAGACGCGTGTTATGGTTTTTTTGTTGTTCTGTGTAACTGTAATATAAATGACCGCGTGAAACTGCTCAGTCCTATGTAGCATGGAGCTGTGTTAAACAAATACTCGATGATAACCAGTTACAGAGTTGCAAGTTTCTTACCCTGTTTCCTTAAATTTTTTAAGACCCTCTAGACTACTGTTCTTAATCTAGTTCTAGTTTCCTGGTGACCATGTTCTTCCCTCTTTACTGCTTTGGTTAAACACAGCAGAGAAATGTTGATGCAGAAAGACTCCCTTGCAGACCTTAAAAGTATCTTGGAGTATCTCAAGTATCTTGGAAGATCTCACTGAAAAAGGAGTGACACCTGATTGTCTCCTGTAGAAATAGATAGTTCAGAGTCCCCAGAGAATATGAGCCCTTATTTTCAGTGAAATATTTCAAATACTTCAGTTATTTGTACCTGCTCTTGTTCACACAGAGGAGTGAAGATACCATGCAGAGTGTGAGATGTGTCCTGTGCTGATTTCTCAGACACCCAGAGCATGGAGCAGACCTTGCACACCTTTTCTCCAAGCAGCTGAGATGACTTTTAATTGTTCCAGGTACAGAGCTGGTAGCTGCATCTTCCAGAGAACTAAAAAGTAATGTGTGAGTATGGTTCCCTTACTGAAACCCTGTGGACTTTGCATTGATTAAATCAGCATTTTGGAAAAACAGAAGTGTAATTGATGTCATTTGGATTTCAGCTCAGCATTTTGATTGGCATTTTTGTGTAATGACTTTTCCTTATTTGTTGAATTTAATTGATGGTTGTTGCATTTATTTCTAAAGAACGTTGCTTTAATTAAAAAAAAAAATAAATCTCTGCTCTACAGAAATTAATATTCCCCATCTATATGGCACAAAAGGGTGTGTGGTGAACATAGAGGATAATTAGTAGCTGTAGGAGGAGAACTTATGAGAAGATGACTATGAATATGTAATAGAGGAAATAGACTACAAGGAAATTAAACCAATAAATTTATGAGTGAATAATTGACCTCTGAGTAAATATGAGCATTCTCTCAACAGCCACTTGACGTGTTGTTAACCACTCAGTATGTCAGAACATTAACCACCCTTTTAACCAACCAGTTCTTTGCTGCTGGCAACGACTCGCTCTCCGGAGTCGCCTTCCTGTCTTGCAGGGTGACTGCTTGCTGTGTGCACAATGCCATAAACACACGTGGTGCCAAGGCTTTGGGAGGGAGTTCATGATCTGTTACACAGGTGTAAACCTACCCTTATCCAAAGGACACGTTTGCAGGGAATAATTAAATCTACTGCTGCAAAATTACGCTGTTGGAAATGAGAGCAAAATTTTATCGACTGCCGCCAAATGAAGTCTTTCTACTGTTTAGGGCGTCAGCCCAAAGCTGAGATTTTTCAGAACGGATGGTGAAGTTTCTAAAGTTGATTTTCAAAATTTTCAAGATTTCCGTTTTCCCTTAGATGTGACAAATTAGGAATTGTGACTTCAAAGAGTGTAGGCTAGAGGTGTCATCTTGTTCCCAAGAAAGTCCCAATATCCCCCAAACGAGAGGCCTGACAGATGTGAGCAGATGCATTTGCCAGAAAAAATGGACCTGATGATGTCTGAATTTTAGAGGAAGTTCCCAAGAAACACAGAGCATGCATGAGTAAGGGCTAGGCCTTAAACATGAGTTGTGAGATGTGGTAAGTGGTGTCACAACTCTCTGAAGAAAGACTAGCTTTGAGGATTCAGAAATCATAATGATAAAAGATAAGACGGTGGCATTTGTTTATTGAGAAATTTTTGTATTAGAATGGTCCCTGGGAATGAGGTATAATGGATGTATATTGAGAATAAGGACTTTTCATTCCAGAGAGACAAGCTATTCCATCTGGTTAGGAACCAAATAAATTGTGAAATTACTGCCAGTTTTACACCAAATAAATTGATAACAAAGATGTGATATCAGTGGAGCTTTGCATTTCCTCCTCCTTCCCATTAGCTGGTTAGTGCACCAAACATTTTTTATGTCCTAGAATAGAAGGCAAGTTGTTATCTAAAAAATTTAATGATCAACTACAATATGTGACTGATTGAATCAGAAGGGTAGTGTGAAAGATGAGGTTCACTTGCTGGCCTTGGCCTCTTTGTTTGGCAAAGAGAGATAAGAAGACAAAGCTCAATTTTATCAGAAGTTAACAAATGACTAAGTAGATGAAAATCTCAAATCAGCTCTTTATTTTCTGTGAGCCAAAGTAATTAATGGACTTGTGTTGGGATGTGGTAAAAGACCAAACATAATAAATTGGTTATCACCCCATTCATCTTTGCAGGAACGTGGAGTGGTGTTGGGAGGTGCTGTCTGTATCAGGGAAGAACAAAGTGGAGCCTTTGTGTTGGAAGGGAGGTGGGCACTGAGTTCTTTCTCCTTCTTGGAAAGTCCTCATCTCCAAAGCTGTAATCTACGTGAGCCCACACTCACAGTCCCAAGTCCCACCCTTGTCTGTCCTGCTGAAAGTCAGCAAGTCTGGGGAGTTGAGTTTATGAGCTGTAAGAATGAAATCATAGTCTTATCCCAAAGGAAAGAGGTGGATGTGCTCCTCTGCAGCACAGCCTTCATCAGCAGTAAACACTTCTCTTTTTTCTGGGGAAAGGAGAACAACTCATAAGATAAAAAGTAAGTAATCCAGGAAAAAAAAAAGAGATCCAGTATGGTTTTCCATTATGTACAGATGGTTTTAAAGCATACATCTACAACAGTGAAATAATTATGAGCCCCTAAAATTTGCTTTCTTTTGTTAGAATTATCCCTGGGACAACCTAGACCTGTCCCAAACAGTCTCCAGCTGGTGTTTAGAAGTTCACATGGTTGAGGGATCTTTCCCCATAGGCAGTCGGGATGGAGTCACCCTCTTCTGGAGGCTGGAGGACTCTGACACATCTGGACCGTGGCAGTTGACTTCTGGACCATAAAATGTCCCCTGGTCAAATTTACTCCACTCCAAGAGGAAACCAAAACAGACATAAAGGGGAGATCTCTCCTCAGTTTCCTCTTCAGCTAAGAGCAGCTGGGATAAGATTTAAGAGGGAGAGGGAAAGTGGGAGATTTCTTACACAAATCATCCACATTAAAAATGACAAGACTGTTTGGAATACCTGGCATCACTTGAGTTGAAAGTTTAGTTCTTTCTGGAGCATTCTGATTTTTTTGGAGTGTTTGTGGAAAATACAAGGCATGATAGAGAGTTGGGATAGAGGAATTGAGGGTATATTTTGAGCCTTTGTGGTTGTGCCCTGTTTCAAAACAAACAAACAGCAGCAAAGGCTTAAAGGTCAAGTTCAGGCTAGGGGCTGAGATGAAAAAGGAGGGAGCAGCAGTGCAGATTCCAAGAAAACATGCTTCTGCAACTCTTCTAACAGGTAAACACTTATTGGTCTGGCTAGATGAAAAAGCTCTGTAGAGATGAGGACAGGGCTGTGCAGAACTAGAAATGTGATGTTGGATGAGTTTGATTCTGAAGCTCCTGAGAAGGGACTTCTACCAAGGTGAACCTGGCTGTATGGGCAGGGGAAGTTAGAAACTAAGTGGGTGCACAAATCAAAAGATGCAAAGAGATTATCCATAGGAGGAGATTGGAAGAAGTACAGGTAAGCCTTTTTGAACCAAGATTAACAATTTCTAAGTTAGATACTGGCTTAAATGTTCTGCATCCTCAAGCAGTGTTAAACACAGTGGGCCCATTTCATTTTTACTGACACAAATGAGAAATAAACCTCTCCACTCACTCGAGCTTCTACTGCATGCAAGATCAAAATCAGAGCCAGAGGCATTTGGAGTCTGAAAGAAATGTTTTTGTTTTTGATGTCTATTTTTGCTGCCTCTATTTAGAGCAAACATAGCCAGGGCTGCAAGTGAATACAGTGTCTCTAAAGAGGTGAGTTATTCCCAGCCAATCTGTAGTGGCAGAATGTGGTACCTTATGGGTTTGAAGTAGACCATCCTCATTAACTACATGTTGGGCCAAACCCGGTTAATTTCTACAACCCCTCAGGGCTGAATTTAGCCCATTAGAACTAAGTGATAATATCATTGGAAGCTATTTTTGTGCCCTGTGCTGCAAGTTGGATACTATGATACAGCATAAACTAGCTAAAGCCAAGATGTTTTAGGCTTTGGGGCATTAAGTAGTTTCTTAGTATTTATCCATGCTTTTCTCAAGGGTTTCAAATGGTACTAATTAGTGTACATAAATGATGGCTGAAATTCAGGGAGAATTTCAGCAGCAGGTGTGTTGGGGGTACTTGCAGTGTCTTCAGAGCCAGGTCCTAAATGGCTTTGAATTGAGCTGTGTGATGTGGTGGAATGTGGGGCAGTGATCAGTGGGACTTCCTGCGTGGTGGGTGTGGGAGGCCAGTGATATGGTGTGCAGCAAAACTAGGCAGGACTCCAGGCAGGATTCCTACTAAAGTCATCATCATGGACCACCTAGGGCTGTCATGGTGTGTGCTGACCCATGCCTGCTTTAAATCACAACAGGAGATTTAAGTAAGATGTTAGGAAGAAATTCTTCACTGTGAGGGTGATGGGGTCCTGGCACAGAGCAGTTGTGAATTCCCCCATCCCAGGAAGTGCTTTAGGCCAGGTTGGATGGGGCTTTGAGCAATTTGGCCTAATGGAAGTTGTCCCTGCCCGTGGCAGGCATGTTGGAATTAGATGGTCTTTAAGGTCCCCTCTAGCCCAAAGCATTCTGTGATTCTCAAACAGGTGGTCCTTCCCACAAGGGGCACTGGGTAGCTTGGAAGCAGTTGACAAACCTGGTCTATGTGCTACTTCTCAAGCCCTACCCTCAATCTGTCATTCCATTGATCGCTTATCATGTGGCGTTTAACCATCACACGTCTCATGAGCTCAGGAGAACCAGTCACTGCTGGGGTTTAGCAACACAAATAGAACTCATCAAACTTGTCCCAGCAGTCCCCAGAGCTCCCAGCTCACTGTCCCATCCTCCTGCTGAGGTGGAGCAGGTGAAGGTGACATGTGACAGTTTGTTGTTACGTGATGCTCTTCCCCTGTGTTGTTATCCCCGTGGCAACAGCAGTGATGATTTGCCAGCTCATGGTGCCTGACGCACGGCCGAGCCGTGCTGTGCTGGCGTTAGCTGGCTTTACACCTGCTGCATAATTGCGCTCTCGCTCGCTTCAAGATCGGGCATGTGAGCTTCAGGCTGGGAACAGCTCCACTGGAGCAAAAAATCCGGTTAAAGGGAGAAGCAGAGCGGGCGGTGAGCTGCTGAGTCACTCCCCAGCCCTCCTCGGGTAGCCTGACACCAAGGCAGAGGATCAAAGGTGAGGTGACCTCGTGCATTGGAGGTGAGGGGCTGGAATGTGCATTAGCTCTGGAATGCAGACAGGCAAACACTGCCTCTGTTAGCAGCTTTAGGCCGGGGTCTAAGATCGTCTGTCCAAGGGGAAAAAGCTCCACGTGTGTCCAAAGCCTAGAGAAGTCAGTGGAAATACTCCCATCCACTGTGACTCAGGTGCTCAGAGAGAACATTCTTGGATCTCTTCTTCTGATCAGAGCTGGGGTTAGTCTGCGTGATGCTTTTTGTCCACTCTGTTTTGAAGCTGGGTGAAGCTCTCGGAAAGCCTCAAAACCTCTCTTTAATTTGCTAAATAGGAAACTTTCATCTCATCCTGTAATTCCAAAGTTCTCATTATGATCTCCAAAGAAACATTAAAATGGGTTGTGTTTCAAAGATCATTGTTTTTCATCCCATCTCCAGCCCACTCTATTTATTCCAGTGGACTAAATATCGAGGTTGTTATTTCTGGGTGTGAATCTCTGGTTCTGCCCTTGCTGATTTCTATACCCCCTTCTGGCCTTGGTAATTAAACTAAGCAAGCTGTTGTCTACTTTTAGAGGATTTTCTGGCAAGGCCTGTTTCACTGCCTTTTCACCTGGATCCAGGGCAACAAAGAGACCAGTGCTGTTTGCCACCTCCATTTCTCTGAAAGGTGTAAGACAGAGAACACAAAGGTGTTGGCCAAGATGAAAGAAGGACTCCTGTTGTTGGATCCCTTGTTTATTGTTGGGCTCACAGGTGCTGCTACATGGTAAGATTCACCTCTCCTAACCTCAGACATCTGCAATGTGGACATTTTATTTCTGAACAGTCATCCTGGACTGCCTTTACAGTCCAGCAATGTACCTCATCCCGAAGTAGACATTTGCAATGCTTGCCCTATTGGGTTGTGCCCTAAAACTCCTGGTTGTCTTCCTGGACTCTAGTGGGGTCTATCAAACAAGCTCAGAGACACACATCTACAGCTGAGGTATTCACAGTTGGTTAGAGAGCTCCAGGTTCAGAGTCTAGTTTTTACTGGATCTCAGACTCTAAAACAAACCTCTGTTCAGTCTGACTTCCCTTCAGTAAGTCACCTTTGGAGATGGATTTGCCCTCTTTCGAGGAGATGATGTGAACTCAGTCCTTAAAAGTTTGCCCTTTTCAGAAGCCATGCTTTCACAGGTTTCTTGCCCTGGGGCATCCCTGTCTTCCCAACCATCCTCTAGGGTGAATTTTTAACAGAGGAATATAAAAAGGATGATTGTGCTTCTTTCCATCATTTCTTGGGACACCACCACTGACCAGCACATCCATGAACAACGAAGCCACCGGGGCAGAAAGCCCAGATGGGCTTCCACAGTCCCCAAAGGTACCCAGTAAGAGGGACTTTTGACCAGGGCATGTAGTGTTAGGACAAGAGGGAATAAGCCTAAATGGGAAGAGGTCAAGTTTAGATGAGGTATTAGGAAGAAATTCTTTGCTGTAAGGGTAGAGAGGCCCTGGCAGAGGTTGCCCAGAGAAGCTGTGGGTGTCCCGTCCCTGCAAGTGTCCAAGGCCAGGTTGGATGGGACTCTGAGCAACCTGGGATAATGAAGGTGTCCCTACATAAGGCAGGGGATTGGAATGAGATAATCTTTAATGTCCCTTCCAACTCAAACCATTTCATGATTCTGGGATGTCCTCATGCATGAATATGTTTGCAGAACAGGAGGGCAGCGTCTGGATCATGGTTCATAACACACTGAGGGATCCTTAGGATGAAAGAAGCTGCATAAACATGAACTATCTCCATTGATTATAAATGACAGGGAAAGGGAAATGCATGATTTAAAGCAGTGCCAGCTCTGGTTTAGCAGCAGATAAGCAGCACTGGGGCTGTTGGTCAAACAGCGCTGCTCACTCTTCACTGCTCACATTCAGATGAAATGCAGGAGGATATTTTTTTCTATCAATGCCACAGAGCTCTGAGTGTTCCTGTATGTCTTTCCTACAGAGATAAAGATATAGACACTGCTGACATGTTACATTCCCCTTATCTGGAGTGATTGTGCAATCCCACTGGTGTAAATCTCCCGCTTCCTAGCGTGATGCAAGCAAGCTCTGCCTCTGCAAAGATTGGGGGCAGTTTGGCATGGCCCTGCCCCCCACAAGGCAAGAGGTGTGACTTGTCAGCAGTAAAATCATGAAAGCATTTCTGCAGGAGGTGACAAAAGGCTGGAAGTTAATGCAGGACTTTCCAAGAAAGCCCCATGCCGTCTCCACAGCAATTCCTCCTCTTGCCGTGTGTCTTGTGTAAGGGAACAAGAGACTGACTTGCTCAGCTGGGCCACCTCCTGAAATTCTGGGCAGGGCTGTCACGCTGCAGGCTGCTGCTACATGATCCATCTTTGGAAATAGAGGCCCATCAGGAGCACTTCCAGATGGTGTATTTCCAGGTCCTGCTGACCCGGGGACTTTGGGAATGATTTTCACCTCATGCAACTTCAGGGGAATAAATCAGTGACCAAGTGCTGCTTTGGGTGCCCCATGTTAGCAGGGACACGAGGCTGGCAGGTTTGAGATGGGACCTGTGTGACACCCCTGTCCTTCTAGAAGCAACCAGAAGCCAGGTGAGATACACCAGGACATCCCAAAGGGCTTGAAATGCCTGTATTTAGGCACCTGTCTTCCTTCCTGCACATCCACACCCTCTGTCTCCATCAGAGCTGGGCTGTTTCTGCAGCAGTGACTTAAGTTCTTTCAAGGTGAGGTTTAGCCAAACTGTTCTAGACACCTACTTTAGTGAGTTGTTCCCTAAACACCACGGGCTGTCATAACTAGACCTCTGTGACCGTGAAGGGAACTCAAATTTAGACATTTACATGCAATCAGCCAAACTCCATCCCAGATCTGCTCTGTCTCACACTGACATTAACTTAATACCAAGAAAACAGCAATCCACAGACCTGATTTTGCTTGTAATTACAGCAGTGTTGATGAGATTAGATACAGAACCACCACTTGGCAGTTGTCCCTCAAAGTAAGCTCTGACAGATCTTCATTATGGTAATGTTTTCATGGCTCCTTTTGTAAAAACAAGAGTTTCAGTTAAGAGTTATTTGTTTGGATTCGAGCCAATTGCGAGCGGCTTCAGTTTTAACAGGGTGTCCCACGATGCTTTCAATTACAACGAGGTGAGTAAGAGATGTTTTGGTTTGCTGGCGATGCTGAAAGATAATTGCACACGTCTAAATTGTTCCTGATCTAATAAAAAAGTTTCACTCCATCCCAGAGAAAACATTTCAGCTCACTCTTTAAGGATTTTTCACGTTAAGAAGAAAAACAGAGTGAAAGGAAATCTCTGAACAAAGACACATTTCATAGTGAAATCCATCTCAAGCAACTTATGTTTTTTAACTCTAAATGAATTCACTTGGCAAAACTGACAGAAATTCACAGTGTTGCTGCTTTCTTTCACCAGAAAAAGTGTTTATCCCCCCCAAAACACGCCCACACTGTTGCAGCTGCAGTGCTCTAAAATCCACAGGGCTTTGGACCCTTGCTGGCAGGGCTGGGGGGCCTGGGGTGATCCCTGAAGGTTTTTGACAGCAGGCTGACAAAGGGCCCTTGGATGCCTTCCCTCCATGGTGCTTCCACAAGGTAAATGTTCCCGGTATTATTTGCAACACAGTCATATGTCACAGCAAATGCCAGGTACAATAAGACCCAGACAGCAAAACAGTATAAATAGATGAGGGAATTCCTGGCATTAGTTCTGGAGCAGTTTGGGACTGGAACAAGTGAAAAAATGCAATTTTTCATAAAGGGATCTTTCTTGTAAGGAAAAAGAAAATCTCCCCCCTTTCTCCCCTCCCTTCTTTATCCAGATTGTGCTTTTTCACCAGGGAGAATCCCACTGCTCCAAGTGAGTTGAACCAGAATTTCATTTTGCTGAACTGGCCTGATTTGGGATGCAAACCACCTCTGAAAGGCTGAGATTTCCCATGGGAGCGGAAATTTTCCGAATTTTGCTCATCTCTGGTTACTGCTTGCACAGAAATGGCCTAAAGCAAACAAACAGCCCTCTCCTGGAGCAGCCAGCAGAGCAGCCTGGAAAGTAGGTTAATTTGGATGGGGTTCCTGGGTGGCAGCTCCTCGTCCTCTCTCCTGCCTGGGGAAACCTGTGCAGTGATCAGATCTGCAGACAGGGCAGTGACAAGCCTCCCTTCAAGGCAAAAATAAACTTGCAGGTTTATAAACTCAGAGATCCTTCCCTACAGGAATCATTCCCACCCCAGGGCAGGCTGGTGTGGCTCGACACAGCTCTGCTGGCCTCAACAGAGCACCCCAGGAAAAGGATCACCTCATTCTAGATGTGAAAATATTCCATTTTAGAACAAAGCCAAGTCCTCAGAGGATTTTTTTTGGTAGGCTCTACAAAGCAGCTGATAGCCCAGATGGGAATTCATAGCTGTGGCTGGTTGCTGAGAGCCTGCCAGCTGGTGATGCATCCCCGTTGGTGAGGTATCAGTATGTTATTGGTGAGGATCAGCAAACGTGCCAAGGCTGGGAGCCTGGGGGGATGAGAGATGGACACATGTGAGAGGCTCTGGATGGAGACAGCTGGTTCCTTCTCACTGCCTCATAACACAACTGCGAGGAGACATCAGCCTCCAGAGCTGCTGAGAGGCTGGGGCTGGGCAGCTTGGGGCAGCTGGTGGGAAGAGCTGGACCCCAGGTGCAGTGCTGGAAGGTTTCTATCCATATCCACAGGGCATGGCATGTAGGGTCAAGCTGTTGCCTTTCCTTGCAGCAAAGACAGATGTGCCCTCTGAGCACTGCACTCTGGTCATGAAGTGCTCCTGGCCTGCCCAACCTTCAGCCTTCCTGCAGCCTTTACTTCAGTTCTCATCTGGGGAGAGAAGAGTGCCCTGCAAACAATTAACACTCCAAATCCCCCAGTGAACTAGGGAAGAATTATCTCCTCATTTTTACCTGTCTGGAAAATGACACAGAAATTAATTGACTTCTTCAAGGTCACACAAAGAGTCAGTGGGAGATTTGAAAATGGGACCCAGGAGTCCTGACTGCTGGTCTTTTCTAACCACTAGATACCTAACTTCAATTTCTAGAGAACCTGCTCTTAGGATTTACAATTTTGATTAAATATTCAAAAAATATTGAAGCTTTAAAGGAAAAATAATTCACTACAACTTTACCAAGTGATGTGTGGCTGGGCACAGCCCCTCTGGGAACACAGGCACTGTTTCAGAAGAGCTGCTCAGCTCGATGCTCTGCATACACATGAGGTCCCAGGCTCAATGCCAACAGACACAGGCACAGGTCTGGCTCCTGCCACCACAGGCAGCTCAGGAGGCTGCCAGGGCTCTGCTCGTCCATGTCCAGAAGATGAGGTCCTGAACTGAAGCAGCAGCAAGCTGTGGGTCTACACCTCATGCTGGGCTTTGGTTGTGTTATGTGTTCAAAAGTGCTTTAGCTGCTAAAGGTGAGCAACCAGGGCTTTGAGAGTAAAACATGGAGCTCAGTGGATGCATCTCCTGCTCTGAGTGCAGAAGCAGAGCAGTGAGTTGGCTCCTGGCTTAAAATCATCCTGTGAGGGCAGAGACACCTTCCACCAGGCTCCTCATCCCCTTCCCTGGGCTCACATCCCATGGCCCAGCTCCCAATGCTCAGCAACCCATGTCTGATGTTGCCTCATTTCTTCATTTCTTCTCCCACCAGTGCACAGAGACCCCCTCCCAGCACCCCTATGGCTCTGTCCTTGGGGCAGCCCAGCCCCACAGGTGCCCCATATCAAGGACAATGAGGGGAGTGCAACCAACCCCTTCATTTTCTCTTGCCTGCTCTGACCTCCCTGGAATCACCACCTCCAGCCATCACCATCAGCATGACCTATCCCAACAGCTGGCCCAGCAGCCTGACTCACTGTTACCCTCTAGTGCTGGACCAGCTGGGAGACAGCATCTCCCTGGAGAGCTCAGTGCTCCAGGCAGCACTGGCTTGTCCTCTTCACTGCCAGACACCCAAAATTCAAGTCCTGGCCTCAGTGACTCATTGTAGGATGCTGACTTTCAGCCCCTGCATGGTTTGCTGAGCCACTTTCTCTGCTCTTGCATCCCAGACAGGCAGATTTGTCACCCAGCTGTTGGTAGCTTGGACCAGCCCTTCGGTTTACTTGATTATGTGCCTGCTGCAGGTTTTGCTCTTCCTTCCTTTTTATTTAAAGAACTCCCTGTCATCTTGAGTTTTGCTCTCCAGACCTCATTTGCTGTGGTTTTGGTGGAGGGACCAGTAGCAGGTTTGCCCAAGGAGAAGCTGATGGTGAAACACCTGACAGGAACAATTAGGGAAAACTTGTTCTGTTGGAAACTCCTATTTTTATAGGGAAAGCACAGTTGGTGAGAGGGACCAGAGTTTGCTCCCAGTCTGCACCAGTAAGAGCTCAGACTCAGGAAGATGGCAAAAACATTAAAGCCCTCTTGATTTTTCCCTGTGGTCTCTGACAACATTGACACTGGATTTCAAGGAATCATTTTCCCTCTCAATTGGGAAAAGAGGGGTTGAACATTGTTAGAGAAGCCTTTGTGGACAAGGCTGAGGACGGCCTGTGGGGCTGAGAACAGAATGCTGAGATCTGGCCAGGGTGGAGTGAGGAGCTTGAGAGGGGGACAGCTTTCCTGGGGAGAGTGATGAAAAAGGATCCCTTGCAGCAACAGCAGACTTCTAACCCTCCTCCCTCTCAGCTTCCAGGGGAAGAGGGTTTGCATTTTTCCCTAGCAGGATTTACCAGTGTTGGGCACCCAAATTAGAAGCCTTCTTGCCCTAACCAGGCCACAGCCCTGAATGCCAATGATTCACCACTGGAAATACTGGTAAAGCTACTTTCCTTTTCACGGTTTTCCGTTTCTTTTCTTTCTTAATGAGTGCCGCCAATTCCTTATTTCACACATGCCAACATGGATTATAACTTGCTCCTCTGAAAAGAGGCCAACAGCCACATTGGCCACGGGCTTGACGCTGTGCAATCAAGAGCTTTCTCTGGCTCCTGACACATTTGGACCTGTTTTTCTGATAAGCTGAGCTTGTTTATGGCCATGCATGAAATGCAGCTTGTGGTTTTCTGTCCTAGTGCATCTTGTTTGACTGTATTTTAACTTCACTGAGTGCTCCCGTTGATAGAATAAACATTGGTATTCATATAAATCGTTTACCCTTTCAGATCCTGTGATAAAGCACAGGAAAAGTGTCTTGCCTGCACTAATGAGCTGAGCAAAGCAAACATCCTGGACGATAGGTAAGGATCATTTGGAAATTTTATGGCCAGAAACAAAGGTTTTGAGTCTGTGCATTTGTGTACACACACACACACGCACACCACAAAAACTCACCCCTGTATTTGTGCAATGTATCCAGCAATGCATTCTTGAGTAATGCGTGTGTTCCTGGAAAACATACTGTTCACTTGTCTAAATGGAGGTGTATAGGGGTCCTTTTGGGATGCTGTGAGAATCCACACAAATCTGGCAGGAAATGGTGCAGGCCTACAGGCTCCCTCCCTCTTGGAGCAGCTGCTGAAAGCTGGGGAGGACAGCCCCAAGACCCTCCAGGGGTGTGAGATAGCGAGGTGTTGTCAGCAGAACTGAGCTCCCTGCATGGTATGAAGGGTAGAGTTCAGGGATGGAGACACAGCTGGATCAGAGTCTGCAGGATGGTGTCCAGTGAGCAATGGGTGCCTGTCCATGGAGCCCAGGGAGGGATTCCTTTGACCACAAGAACAGCGCTGTTGGCTGCATTAGGAGGGACTCAGCTTTCTGAGCACTGGCATATTTTGATCTGTGAGATGCTCCAGCCTGTCCCAGTCAACACATTCCATGGATTCCTCTGGCATCTGCAGTGGCAGACATGACAAAGGAGGCCCAAGTCTGGATGACATCAAATTCCAGAGAGATGAAGGTCTCCATAGGTCCTGTATCATGTCAGCTGGCAGGCATCTGTGCAGGTACCCAATACATCCAAAAAGCACTGGGCACTCCCTTTGGAAACGGACCTGAGCATCAAAATTTGAGTTCATTTCTCCTAACTAGACATTTATAATGTAGTTATATCTAATGTGGCCGCTCCCAGCTCCTTTTACTATAGGTGGGAAGAAATGTGCACTCCAAGGGCATGATTCATCTGCCCAGGTCTAGAACTGTCCTCTAGAGAGATAAGAATAACCCCTTGGTTCTCCTGAGAACATTGACTAGAACTCTCTGGGGTCTTAATGAGCACATCAAGACAGAGTTAGTGTTGGGTTTTCCCTGTGGATACAGGCATTAATCAGAAGAATTGCATCTTTAAGACATATACAGTCCACCACTTCCTTTGATAGATATTCTCTGTGACTGGTAATTGTCTCATCTGAATTTGCCTGGCTCAGTTTATGTCCTGCTTCTCTTCTGCAGATTGAAGGATCCTTCAATATTGCAGTGAGTCACATATTCTTATCTTCCCATTGATAAAATGAAGAGCTAGAGCTTCTCAAGGCTTTGATGACAAATCAGAGCAAAGCTATGTCCAAGCAGCTCGTGGGTGGGAGAGTTTAACAGTATATCGAAGTGTGTGTGTCCAAAGAGAGCCAGAAGGACCAGAAAAATGTAGGGAGAATATCCAATGGATGTAGTCACAGGAATGCTCTTACTGAGAACATAGAGAGAAGGGGAGCAATAATTCATTTTATTTTCATGTCTTGAGTTATCTGGAAAATGGATTTGAGCTGTGAATCCAGAAACAACCTTCAGTTCTTTTTCATCTTTTCTAGAGGAAGAAAAAGGACAGGATTGCTCTGTAGAGGTCTTGATCCTACTGAAAGTCGTCCTGGTGGAACATGGAGTGGCTGTGCCTCAGTTTCTGCATCTGCACAGTGGAGCTGTAGTATGCTTTTGAGCATCTCCTCAGCTGTGGGGGGATCTGCCTGGTCTAACTCAGATCTCTGATGGTGTAAATCAATTCCTGTGGTACTTACTGACAAGGATTCTGGCCTGCAGCTTGCAAAGCAGCCACATTCCCATGCAACGTGAATCCCACCCCTGGGGTAAAACCCACTGCCAAATCTGTGAGCAGGAGAGGGACTTCTTGCTGGAAACATCACAATGTTACCCTGGAGGGTGGAAAAGAAGAGAAGACCATGTACTGCCCTGTTTCCAGGCAGAGTTTAGTGGAATTTTAAACAGCCTCATTCCAACCTCCCCCCGTGACAGCAAATGTCACTTGTAAAGTGTGTAATTTGTGCCTGCAGCCCTGTGCCACTCAGGTCACATGCAGACGTGTACTCCCTGCTGTTCCCTTCTCTGCTCTGACTCCCACAGATCTCTCCATGGCAAGGGTGGGATGATG